GTCAGATGGAGTGGCTGGTCTGACATCAGGAAATGCTTGCTGATGTGAGCACTGGGCTGTGGCCCTGACCGGCCTGGAGCGTATTGTATTTTACGGATAGCCAAGCGCGCAGAGCTCCTGTCAAAATAAGGAAAAGAAACAGACTCAAAGAGCAACAACAAAACATGACCAGTATTAAATTAAATATATATAGAAACCGTTGGATTGTTAAAAAAGCTACAAGTTTGTTGTTACTCAGGGAGGCGGGGCCTTTCCCAGTCTGTCAGTCTCCCTTGTGGGTTGATCTTTGATGCCCTGTGTTTTCCACACGACAAGAACAGATTAAATATTCAAGTAATCTGCACAACAACAACCTGAATTTATAGAGTATTCTTAAGATGCTTCACAGGAATGTTATCGAAAAGAAATTGACACAGGAGTTATAAGGGGAGATGGCCAAAAGCTTGGCCAAAGAAGTGGGTCTGAGGGAACATCTTAAAGGAGCAAGCAGAGTGAAAGAGATGGAGAGGTTTAGACAGAAAATCCCGTAACCTGGGGACTTGGTACCTGAAGGAACCCCAGCAAATGGCAATGCGTAAACCTGTACACAAAAGTAAAGATAGAGATAACAAGGTGTAGAGCTGGATGAACGCAGCAGGCCAAGCAGCATCATAGGAGCAGGAAGGCTGACGTTTCGGACCTAGACCCTTCATCAGAAATGGAGGAGGGGAAGGGGGTTCTGAAATAAATAGGGAGCGAGGGGGAGGCGGATAGAAGATGGATAGAGGAGAAGATAGGTGGAGAGGAAACAGACAGGTCAAAGAGGCGGGAATGGAGCCAGTAAAGGTGAGTGTAGGTGGGGAGGTAGGGAGGAGATAGGTCAGTCCAGGGAGGTCGGACAGGTCAAGAGGGCGGGATGAGGTTAGTAGGTGGGAAATGGGGGTGCGGCTTGAGGTGGGAGGAGGGGATAGGTGGGAGGAAGAACAGGTTAGGGAGGCGGGGATGAGCTGGGCTGGCTTTCTGGAGGGACCACTCTCTCCATGACTCCCTTGTCCGCTCCACACTCCCCTTCAGCCCCACCACACCCGGCACTTTTCCCTGCAACCGCAGGAAGTGCTACATCTGCCCCCATACCTCCTCCCTCACCCCCATCTCAGGCCCCAAGAAGACTTTCCACATCAATCAGATGTTCACCTGCACATCTGCTAATGTGGTATACTGCATCCGCTGTACCCATTGTGGCCTCCTCTACATCGGGGAAACCAAACGGAGGCTCGGGGACCGCTTTGCAGAACACCTATGCTCGGTTCGCAATAAACAACTGCACCTCCCAGTTGCGAACCATTTCAACTCCCCCTCCCATTCCTCAGACGACATGTCCATCCTGGGCCTCCTGCAGTGCCACAACGACGCCACCCGAAGGTTGCAGGAACAGCAACTCATATTCTGCTTGGGAACCCTGCAGCCCAATGGTATCAATGTGGATTTCACAAGCTTCAAAATCTCCCCTCCCCCTACCGCATCCCAAAACCAGCCCAGCTCATCCCCGCCTCCCTAATCTGTTCTTCCTCCCACCTATCCCCTCTTCCCACCTCAAGCCCCACTCCCATTTCCTACCTACTAGCCTCATCCCTCCCCCTTGATCTGTCCGTCCTCCCTGGACTGACCTATCTCCTCCCTACCTCCCCACCTACACTCACCTTTACTGGCTCCATCCCCGCCTCTTTGACCTGTCTGTTTCCTCTCCACCTATCTTCTCCTCTATCCATCTTCTATCCGCCTCCCCTTCTCTCCCTATTTATTTCAGAACCCCCTTCCCCTCCCCCATTTCTGATGAAGGGTCTCGGCCCGAAATGTCAGCCTTCCTGCTCCTATGATGCTGCTTGGCCTGCTGTGTTCATCCAGCTTTACACCTTGTTATCACAAAAGTAAAGCTCTTTCTACATTGTCCCATCAAACATGCCCAAGGCAAGTATAATGTGAGATAAACACAAACTAAAATTCTTTTTACACTGTCAGTGTTCCTCAGCTACATACTGAAGAGACCAACGTAGCATTTATTTTTCTTTCCTCATGCCATCCTTTATATCTTCTTTAAGTTGCCAAAAGAATGTCCATTGGTGCTGAATGAAGAGTAGTTGTTGTAGTTTCTCATGAACAGGACTAACATTACTCTCCTGAGCAACATCAAACCTTTAGTCTTTACCTGATTCCACCATAGTCTCTGTGGTGAAAGGTTAGTGCCTGACCTCTTGCCTCAGCCTCGTGCTGTCAAATGATCTTCAAATTTCTAGATCAATTTCAAGAGGTCAGCTTTACTCAGTGATGGTGTTAGCAACGACAGTCAGGTTCTGCCATAATACATGTTCCGGCAATGCAAATTGGCTATAATGTGACTGACGAATAGGGGAACGCTATTTCTAAAACGCCAACTTGTGTGGCTATAACACAATCCCATTGGTGCACAGAAGAGGATGCATCAACATCACATGATCGTTTCACAGGCTTTGTCCTGAATATGCACAATGTTAGTGCGAAAAGGGTCTCCGCGCTGGTATTACGTAATCGTTTCGCAGACTTTGTCGTGAAGCGCTTTCTGTGAGAGGTACAGTACTCCATGAGTTTTGTTTTCTTTGCAAATGCTGCCGTACTACCCACAAAATTCCAAGGACAAAGTGACAAGAAGGTTAGCAGGAAGCGCCCTGGTGATAAAGTTGTGGGTGGTGAATGTAAAAGAAAGGCTATAACACTGGAGGAGAAGCTAGATGTTATAAAGCATTTTGAGCGCAGTGAGACAACATGTGATATAGTTTGCATAACAGGAATAAAGGAGTGTACCTTATGCACCATCAGAAATAATGCAGAGAAGATTAAAGCAAGCTGTAGTGCTGGAACAAGTCTGACTGCTAGCAAATCTGTGGGGTCACAGCCAAAGGAACTTGAGGAGATGGAGCAGCTTCTAAGTGTGTGGATAAAAGATAAAATGAAGAAGCGATCTGGGACCACCTTTCTCACCATAAAAGAGAAAGCCACATCAATTTATGAAGATCTAACAAAAAAGCTAAAAACCCTGCAGATGTGCCTACCTCTGGGGCTAGCAGCGGCTGGTTTGCTGGTTTCAGGAACCACTATGCTTTTCATAATGTAAAGTTACATGGCGAAGATGCCAGTGCAGACGAGGAGCATACGATGACATTTCCTCCCACAGTGAAAAAATTAATTGACAAAGAAGGCTACAACTTAGATCAAATTTTCAATTTGGATGAGACAAGTTTATACTGGAAGCGAATGCCATCAAGAAACTACACTTCTATGAATGAAGCACATGCTCCAGGCTTTAAGATGGCATATGACTGTGCTGCTGGTTGCCAATGCCAGTGGATACTTAAGGCTTAAGCCTGTGGTGGTGTACCACTGGGCCAACCTGTGAGCCTTGAAAGATTACCTTAAGTCTACTCTAGGCGTCTACTTTAGGTCAAGTAAAAGAGGTTGGATGAGGGGGCAATTTTTTTCTGACCTTATTGTTGATGTTTTGGAAGATGTTTTTAGAAAATATTGCAGGACAAAGAATTTGGATTTCAAGATCCTTCTCATTCTGGATAATGCGCCAAGCCATCCTCCCACCATTGGTGAGCTTTCTGAAAACATCAAAGTGCTATTTCTATCCCCAAACACAGGCTCTCTCCTTCAACCCATGGACCAGAGTGCAATAGCAGCTTTTAAAGCTTATTATTTAAGGGACACGTTTAAAAGGCTGATTGCAGCTACTGAGGGGAATAAGGACAATGTTCTTCAATTTCGGAAAAGCTTTAACATCAAGAATGCAATTGACATTATCATAGAGGCCTGGGTGGCCAGTAAGGACAGCTTGCATACAGTTTGACAGAAGCTTCCTCCCAGGTTTTTTTCAAGATTTTAAAGGCTTTGATCTGTCAGAGGAGCTCCCAAGAATCAAATAACATTACGTTGATCTTGCAAAGCAAGTTGGATTTGAAGAAGTGGAAGGTGAGGATGTTGAAGAGCTGCTTGAGTCCCACTGTGAACACCTCTCTACAGCTGATCTACAACAACTTGTCATTGAGGGGATAGTGGAAGCTGCAGATGAAGAAAATGAATTCCAGAATGCAGCATCACGAAAGCTTTCCACTTCTGTTTTGTCCTCTATCCCGAGGGAAATTGAGAAGCAGTTGCAGCTCTTAGAGGACAACGATTACAATGCAGAACGCAGCAGGGGAGCAGTTTGTGAAATAAGATCTTATTTGGCACCCTATGAACAGCTTATTCATGAAAGAAGAAAAAAGACAAAGCAGCAAAAACTGGATGTCTTTTTTAAGCCAACTCCCAAGAAACAGTCAGAAGACAATGAACCACAGCCATCCACTTCTGGATTAATTATTTTCACCCTAACCCTGCAACCACAACTGTACCTGAAGGTGACAATGATGATGATGATGATGATATTGATGATGACAACCCTCAGCACCTGCATTAACTGCAGGGCAACCTCAAAAACACCTCCCCCATCAAGTCATCTCAATATATTTTTCAAGGTAAGGTGTTATTATTTATGAATTAAACATTTGTTCAAACTGTGTTATCCTTTGTGTTAGGCTTTTGAGTGATTATTGTGCAATTTTGAGTGATATATTTTGGTGGTCTGTCGCTAACTCGACTTTTCCCATAGGCCCCCGTTATTTCTATAGCGCGATTTTCTATAACACGATGTTGCACAGAAACACAACTACTTGTGTTATAGCAGAATTGACTGCAGTTTATTCGTAGGATTCACTAAAGGCTCCCTCAGCTGCAAATACTCAAATATTTGGACATCTTGGAGCAGCCAATTAGAACTTTAAGTGTTGCTTAAGTCAAGCAGCGATATGTTATTGTGTTGAACTTAATGTGTTACAGGTGCTGCAATGGTGTTCAAGATTTGACTATTGTCACAGAATATGAAGAGTATAGCGGAAGAAGGGTTTATGACACTGGTAACATCCCCACATTGGGACCAGCAGCTCTCGGCTCAAATCCCACGCCAGAATTTGATGGCCATTGGAGATAAATTCATAACATGGCCAAGCAAGTTGATTACCAGCCTGTAAATCCCTCCAGTGTAGCTGTTGGCAGGCAGTGAGAAAGAGAGGAGGGCTGGGGGTCTTGATCAGCCAACTTGTAGAAGATAATGGCAAACTACAGCAGCGTTTTTGCCCATTTATGGCCTAAGAGTGGAGTTTTTTTTGGATGGAAGTCTATGGCACAACCATTGGGAACGAGAATCAGGGTGGGAAAGGTGGTTAAAAAAGGCAGCATGGCTGCCTTCCTGAATGCAACATATTCCACCTCACCTCACTTACCTTTTACGAATCTTTTCCTCCAGACTGCTCACACAGAAAGCCAGTACCTCAAAAGCCACGGAACAGAACTGCAGAGAAAAGATCAGGAAGAATAATAATCCAGTGGGAAGGGTAGATTAGGGCACAAAATTATTATTACTCACTGGATTATTCTAGAGTTCAGATTCAATAGATCTGAATCATTTTAGGTTATGTCGAATTATGTGGAATATACAACACACACCGGCCACTCAATTCAAGCATCCAATGCTGGCATTTATGCTCCACTTCAGCCTCCACCATTTCCAATTCTATCAGTGAACAAAGGGGAGGTGATGGCTGAGTGGTATCACTGGACTGTTAATCCAGAGACTCAGATAATGTTTTCGGAACCTGGGTTTGAATCCTGCTATGGCAGATGATGGAATTTTAATTCAATAAAAAAAAGTTCTAATTAAGTGTGTAATGATGACCATGAATCCATTATCGATTGTTGGAAAATTTCTGGAGAAACTCAGCAGGTTTGGCAGCATTTGTGGAGAGAAAGCAGAGTTAATGTTTCCAGTCCAGCGACCCTTCTTCAGAACAGATGGTAGCTTGGAAAAGGTGCTCCATATGCTAAAGAGAGGAGGTGGAGGGCATGGAGAAGGAGGTGCAATAGGAGGAACTGTAGAGCAGAGAGAGAGAGAAAGAACACAGCAATTAAGCAGACAAAGGGATGGATAATGATAAGCTGGGGAGAAAGAAAAGCTGGTAGTAGGGACGATTAGTTGATGAAAATGGGTTGGCTGTGATGAAAGGAGGCAGATGATATCAGGGCCTGGTGTAGCGGGGTTGGCATAAGGACATGGAAGAAGGTTTGAACTCAATATTGAATCCTGAAGGCTGCAGGGGCCCCATGCGGAAAATGAGGTGCTGTTCTTCCAGCTTGCGCTGAGATTTGCTGGAGTGAGACAGAGATGTTGGCTAAAGAACGTGGTGTGTTGAAGTGGCAGGCAACAGGAAGCTCAGGGTTATTTGTGCAGACAGAATGTAGGTATTTCACATAGTGGTGGTGCAGTCTGCATTTTTTCTCCCCAGTGCAGAGCAGATCACATTGTGAGCAGTGAATATAGTAGTGAATCACAAGTAAATCACTGCTTCCCCTGGAAGGTGTGTCTGAGGCATGTTAATGTCCCAGATCTGTCTGTTTAGCTGGAAACATAGAAAATAAGAGCTGGAGCAGGCCATTTGGCCCTTTGAGCCTGGTCTGCTATTCATTATGTCCATAGCTAATTAAATAACTCAGTATCCTGTTCCCACTTTGTCTCCTTACCCTTTGATACCTTTAACCCTAAGAACTATATCTATCCCCTTCTTGAAAACATTCAATGTTTTGGCCTCAACCACTCCTTGTGACAGAGATTTCCATAGGATCCCCACTCTATCGATGAAGACATTGTCTGGACCTAAGTGACCTACCATTTATCTTTTGACTGTGGCCCCAGGTTTAGGACTCCCCAGTCATCAGGAATATCCTTCCTGAATTTACTTTGCCTAATCTATTAGAATCTTATACGTTTCCAGGAGATTGCCCCCCATTCTCCTAATGGGTATAGTCCTAATAAATCCAGTCAGTATTCACATGTCAATCCTGCCATCCCAGGAAGCGGTCTAGTAAATCTTTGTGGCATTCCCTCCATAGCCAGAACATCCTTCTTCAGATAAGGAGATCAAACAGCACACAACTCTCCAGATGTGGTCTCACCAAAGCCCTGTACAATTGCAGCAAGACCATTGCATTCAAATCCTCTCGCTATGAAGACCAACATACCGTTTAGACCAAAATTAGATCTTAAATGAGAATTCAGATCGGAGCCAGAACTGGAATCCAAGTGCGTTTTTTTTTGATGGGTTATTAGGGCATCAATAAGGGGTTCCTTTATACTATGTGTAGACTATGCCTCCACTACAGTGTGCATTATTTTCCTTCACTTCATAAGAAGAATGTAGAGATCTTACCTTTTCTGGGTCATTGGCACCAGGCTGAAGACACACAGAACAGGGAAGATGGTTTGGGAACTGTTAAGGAAAAAGACAGAAATGTTAATGGTGACAGATGGACCATCTTCCTGAAGAAGTAACCTCATTAAGTTCCCGTTCTCCTTCATCAGCTGTTTCTGATCCTTTACCATATGGCGACATATTGCTCAAACTCCTTTGAGCCTCACAGCAAATGTCTGCAGCTCAACCATCACTGAAGCTGCCTCAAAGAGATTTGGTTTCTATTGTACCAAATACATGTTTTCAACTGCACGGGAATTTCTATGGTCTGGGCCTTTGAGTTTAGCTGGGAAGCTTTTGAACTCGGTGAATGGCGGTAATACTGGATGCAGGCATGTACTGGAATCTGAAGATTCAACCAGTTGTAAACGATCAGTATTTGTTTTGGTAGGAATGGCCAAAATCAAATTGAGCCCCCCATCCAACAGCTTGTACACCTCCCAGCTGGAAAAATTCTTAACTAGAATCATTTCTAGACTGCAGAGTGTACCTCAAAACAGAAGGGCAAAGCTTTGTCTCCAATCTTCCTCATCAGACGTTCCTGTGTCTTGGTGAGGGGTTTCACTTGACCACCTGTCGGAGGGTACACCTGGATTGTTGACACGTACAGATCTCTTTTGAATGCCTGCCCAATCATCTCGATGTCCTCAGGTCCATAGTGGAAAATGCAGCTCAGTCTACAATACGCTGGTGATAGAAGAAAAGAACAAGCTTACAAAGGTGAGAAGCAGTCAGAAGCAACAATGCAGAGATACACAGCAGGTCGTTTGGGATCTGGAGGAAGTAAAGTGGATCTAGTCTCTGCCTGTAACACTTCACTTTCTTCAGCAAGCTCTTAAATGGCAGCCAACAGAAAAAATCTTTGACTCCCCCCACCCCCTTCTTCAGCACTGGTGTCTGAAATGATGGCATCCTAAAAGTATGATGATTTACATACACATGTGGATTATGTCTGAACATTGGGGCCATGTTTGCAGATATACCATTCATTATAGCCTGCCTGTGAACTCTGAAATGCAGCTAATCTTATCTCAGGAATGTGGAACAATTAAAGAAAAAAGCAGGCCAATAAAATTGCCTTGTAAGGTTCAACTATCTGACCCTCGGTGGGCAAGCTTGGATTTATCCAGCTGGCGACAACACTTGACCACTTTGAATTTAGTTTGAAAACCAAATGAGGAAATTAAGACAATAAATTGAGTCCATGACTGTCCAGAAAAAGCCTCATCCTTTTAGCTGGGAAGTCTGTTGCCCTCAACCAAGTCTGGGGCATACATGGCTCCATTCCACATTAAAATGGCTGGTTTTTAACAGCATTCTCATCTGGTCCAGAACTCACTCAGTTGCATTAGTATAACACCACTAACCGTTTAAGCAGAAATAAATACTAACACTTCTATAGCACCGTTTACAAATTCAGGTGCCCCAAAGCATTTAACTACCAATGATGCACAGTCACATCTGTAATGTAGGGAACACAAGACAATGTGTGCACAGTAAAGTCCCACCAACAGAAAATGTGAGAATGACCTGATGATCACACAAGCCCACATCAACCCTATGACAACTGCTCACCCGAACCAAAGACCCACTCCCCACTATGGACAGGACCAATGTCATCTGTAAGATCCCCTGCAAAGACTGTGAGAAACACTACATCGGACAAACAGGAAGGAAACTAACAACAAGGGTACATGAACACCAACTGGTTACAAAAAGACACGACCAATACTCATTCATCTCTATCCACATGGATAAGGAGAACCACCAATTCAACTGGGACAACACCAAAATCCTGGGACAAGCTAAGCAGAGACTGGCACGGGAATTCCTAGAAGCCTGGCACTCCATGAAGAAAGCCATCAACAAACACTTAGAACTCGACCCCATATACACTCCATTACGAAGGAAAACCGGAAGTGAGGCAATCCAGCTCAACGGACTCCAGAGTTTAAAAACCAGGCGGGAAAACACACCGATGCTTCATCAGAGCCTGCACTGATGATGTTACCCAGCATGGTAATGAAACGTCTGCGGAACAACAAACCAGCTCGGCGAGCCAACCAACCACAACACCCACAACCTGAGCTACAAATCTACTCCAAAACCTTAGAGACCTGATAATCTGTTTTAATGATGCTTGGTTGAGGGGTAAATATTGCTCAAGAAGAAGTCTTCTTCACAACCAAAAGTTGACACTTCCAACACTCGAGCACCCTCTTAAGCTGTCCCAGCACCTGGCACCACACTTTCAGGGCAACTGGCAATGGGTAATAAGATGCAAACCTTGCCTATAACTTGAGAAAAACAGTCAGCCATTCTGAACCGATCAACATGTCCACTAAAACCAGAGTGAAAGGAAAGTAGGTGAGTTAGTAAGTTAGAATTGTAGATCCCTACAGTGCAGGTAGAGGCTATTTGGCCCATCGAGTCTGCACTGGCCCTCTGAATAGCATCCTAACCTCCCCACCCTGTCTCCTTAACCAACCTAATCTACACAACATTGGGCACTACAGGGCAATTTAACATGGCTGATCCACCTAACCTGCACATCTTTGGACTGTGGGAGGAAACTGGAGCATCCAAAGGAAACCCACGCAGACACAGGGAGAATGTACAAACTCCACACAGACTTAATTGTTCAATCATCAGGACCAGGAGATTTAGGATCTCATTCTCTCCTGTCTCTCTTTTAGACAGTGAACTCAATCTATTCCATCCCACTTTCAGAGGTGCACTGAGTACTTGTGAACTAAATTTTATTTAGAGAAGATATTTCTAAGAATATATTGTCAGAACCCATTATCTGTGACTGTGAAGCATGATGTCCATGTCAATTCGCAAGTGAATAGAAGACTTTTTGAGGTGCTGATGGCAGAGAGTTTACCTTTCTGATCTTTTATGAAACCAGTATCCACCAATAACACGCCATCTAGAGACAAAAACAAGATCATGGTTATGTTGGTTTCACATGATGTCCATGTGCCCCGAAATGCAATTGATAACTTTCCTCATGCCCACTCAACCACCCCTTCTCAACCCAGGTTAAGGTGCATACTGCGAATATCAACACTTCTCCAATTTATACTTCAGCACGAGTCGCAAATGCCTTTGAGGGAAAATGAATCAGCCCAAGGCCCAACCACAGCTCTGTAAATGTCTCTTAGAAAGTAGTTTGTAGGGAATTTGCAGGAGGGCAACTTCCCTTCCATACTAAAACTGTCCTCACTTACAGGATCCATATCCCTCTATTCCCTTCCTATTCATATATTCATTCAGGTGCTTCTTTAATGCTGCTATTGTGTCTGCTTCCATCACCTCCTCTGGCAACGTGTTCCAGGCACTCACCACCCTTTGTGTGAAAAACTTGCCTTGCACATCTCTTTTAAACTCCACCACCTTCCCCACCCTGAACCTGTGTCCCCTAGTAATTGACCCCTCCACCCTGAGGTAAAAAAGCCTCATATTTTCCACTCTATCCATGCCATTCACAATCTTATCAACTTTTTTCAGGACGCTTATATGTTGTGGCTGGCCTATGGAGTCAGTTACTGGAGGATAGCCAATGCAAGTCGAAACCACACCCCGATCAGGAGCTGTGCTTTCAGTGAAATGGCAAAGAAATGGGTCAGTCTGGCACAGAATCTGAAAGTGCTGAAGGAGGCTGTTCATCCCATCATGCATTGTGCTGATTCTTGGTGAAAGCTATCCAATTTGTTCCACTACTCTACTCTTACCCTACAACTTTGCAAATGTTACCTTTTCAAGTATATATCCAATTTCCTTTTGAAAGTGATCATTGGACATGCTTTTACAATCCTTGTGGCCACTCATTCCTCATTATAATAGCTCACTTTGTAAACAAAATCTCCTCAGTAACAACCTTTTACCAGTTACAGTGTCTTAAATCTCTGGTTACTCACCCTCCTGCCATTGAAAACAATATCTTCTTATTTACTCGTTCAAAATCATTCATAATTGTGAACATTTTGATCAAGTCTCCCCATTACATTTTCTGCTGAAAACAATCTTACATTCCCCAGTATCTTTACATGATTGGCAACATCTACTCTGATCTTTTCGAAGGCTCTTGTACCCTTGACAGCTCATCTAAGTTGGAACGCAACAGGCTCTCCCCTAGGAGACAACATCATCATCTAAAGCCAGTGAAAGCTCAAACAAAAAGCGAAATATTGCAGATGTTGAGAATCTGAAATGAAAGCAGAAAGGACTGGAGATACTGTCTGACAGCACTACAGTGGAGCCAGAAACAGGGTCAACGTTTCGGATCAATGACCTATGATCAGCTCTGCAAAGATATTAAGGACTTTAGGAGGTTTCCAGCCATTGAGGAGGCAAAGATTGTTGGCAGTGGAAGGACGAGAACTAATAAAAGACAGCTTTGTGATAGAGTGAAAAGCAGGAGAGAGTAAATGACAAAAAAGAATGGTGGCCAAAGCAAAAGAGGATGATACTTGGTAAGTAAAGAAACAATGGATTAAACTAAATAACACAGCATGGAGCTGGAGAAACACAGCAGGCCAGGCAGCATCAGAGGAGCAGGAATGTTGACGTTTCGGGTCGGGACCCTTCTTCAGAAATGGGCTGCAGATTTCTGAAGAAGGATCCCGACTCGAAACGTCAGCTTTCCTGGTCCTCTGATGTTGCCTGGCCTGCTGTGCTCCTCCAGCTCCATGCTGTGTTATCTCAGACTCCAGCATCAGCAGTTCTTGCTGTCTCTGAATGGATTAAACTAGAGGTGGTTTAAATGTGCAAAACAGAACAATCACCAAAAGATGCCTTCAAAAAGTAAGACACACAGAATTTTTAAAAAATTAATAGCAGTGGTGGCTGTAATCTGAAATTGTTAAACTCAAGGCTGACTCCAGAAGGCTGTAAGATACCTGATGGAAAGGTATCCTTGATCAAGCTGCATTGCAATGGTGAATGAGGCTGAGGACAGAAAGGTCAGCGTGGGAGTGTGGTGGGCAATTAAAATGACAGGGGACTAGAGGTTCCTGCTTGCACTTGTGAACTGGACAGAGGTGTAAAACAGTGACTGAGTGGCCACTTTGTGGACTCCTCTGTTCGGTCTGCAGACCTGACCCTAACCTTCAAGAGTCCTGCCATTTTAATCCTTAGTCTTTCCTTCTTCAGGCTCCTGCAGCAGTGTGAATGAAGCTGATCATTACTCCACAGGCAATTCTACATTCCCCAGAGTAACAGGGAGACTACCTCAGAGTGACAGACCTCAGAGTGAAGGGCACTGTGCAGAGTGAGAGCCCAGGGTGAAGGGGTCTACACCAGAGACAGACAGACTAGAATGAAGCACCAGAATGAGAGCCCAGAGTGGAAGGAGGAGCAAATTATTGCAGGTGCTGGAATCTGTACTGAAAACAAAAAATGCTGGAAATCACAGCAGGTCAGGTAGCATCTGTGGAGAAGAGAGCCACCTAATGTTTCGAGTCTAGATGACTCTTCATCAAACCTGACTTCACATTAGCTTTGATAAAGAGTCATCTAGATTTGGAACATTTGCTTGCTCTCTCTCCATGGATGCTACCAGAACCAGACTGAAGGGGACTGCCTCAGAGTGAGAGCCCTGAGTGAAGGGGACTACACCAAGTCTACATGACCTGGAGAGTCAAATTTCCATGTGCTCTGTGGCATCTCCTGCAGGTTGTTGTCAATATTGTGGGGGGTGGTCTGTGAGCAGGTAGACTAAATTCCCACAGGGGGAATTCTTCCTAGCATTACAACGGGGATTCGTGGCAGAAGATAAAAGTAAATTGTGTGTGCTTCACTGTATGAAGAATACATTAACAGTCAGTGATTCACACTCACCCACAGGATCAATATGGCTGCCATGATCCACAAAATCTCTTTTGCTCAGATATGCAGCAATCTATGAAAAAAATTAGAGCATGGAATAGATTATTTCAAGGTAAAAATGATCAACAAATTATCAACAACTTCTTGCTATGTTCTGTCCATTGCTTAATGCATCCATTAACCTGATATTAAGTAATTCAAATTTGTATACATTAAAATTGCAAATAAAGTAATCTATGTCAACAAAATATGACAAAATAAGAACAGCATAGAGTCTATCAGGGCATAGAGACATGGGAAATGTAGGGATTAAATTGACTGAGATATAGAGGAGCAGGAAGGGACGGTGTAAAGGATAAATTAATTGGATACATTTAAGGAGGAGGATGGGATAAAGAATGACAGATGGAGCTCGATATAAAAAATTGTGAAGCTTTTCACTTTGTTCCTGAGAAAGATTGAATGTAATTGTGCAGGAGCAAAGCATTATAGATGTTTGTGTATGCAAATCATCTTAAACAAGAATAAATATACGTATAGATAAGATGAATGGCGAGGGTCTTTTCCGTAGGGTGGGGAATTTTAAAATAAGGGGACATGTTTTAAGATATGAGGGGCAATTTTTTTTACACAGAGAGTGGTTCATGTGTGGACTGAATTGCCAGAGGAGGTGGTGGATGCAGGTACAAGTATAACATTTAAAAGACATTTAGATCAGTTCATGAATGGGAACGGTTTGGAGGGCTTTGGACCAAGTACAGGCAGGTGGGACTGGTTTAGTTTGGGATTATGGTCGGCATGGACCAAAAGGTCTGTTTCCATGCGGTATGACTCTATGATTCTATGAATGCATAGTTTCAGAAGATTAAAAACAGCAAATCAAGGGACCTGGGATCTGAAAGGAGAGGAAGTTACCCTTCATCTTACAGAACCTTGTGCAGACAGCATCCAGACAACAATATTCAATTATGAGCGTGGCACCTCAGGAAAGTCTTGTTCACTTTGGATTCAGTATGACACAAATTTATCAGAATAATTCTGGAGTACACGGACTGAAATCATGATCTTAGGCCAAACCATCTTCAGCGGCTTCATCAGTGATCTTCCCTCTATCATAAGGTCAGAATTAGGGATGTTTGCCGAACATTGCAGTTTTCAGCACCACTCATGACTCTTCAGAGACTGAAACAGTTTATATCTAAATGCAGCAAGAGCTGGACAATACCGAGGCTTGGGCTGACAGGTGGCAAGTTACATTCTCGCCACACAAATGCCAGGCAATGACCATCTCCACCAAGAGGGAATCTAACCATTGCCCCTTGAAATTCAAAGGCGTTACCATCACTGAATTCCTTCACTATTATAAGCTGGGAGTTGCCACTGATTAGAAACTGAACTGGACTAGCCTTATAAATAATGAAGCTATTAGAGAAGGTCAGAAGCTAGGAACTACAATGAATAACTCACCTCCTGACTCCCCAGAGCCTGTCCACCATCTACAAGGCACAAGTCAGGAGTGTGATGGATGGATTTGGATTAACTCTAACCCTACCCCGAACCACTTGCCTGGATGAGTGCAGCCCCAACAATAAGCAAGAAGCTTGACACTATCCAGGATAAAGCAGCCGCTTGCCTGGCATCACATCCACAATCATCCAGTCCCTCTGCCACTGATTCTCAGTAGCAGCAGCAAGTACCATTACAAAATGCACAGCAGAAATTCACTAAAGCTCCTTAGACACCACCTTCCAAACCCATGACAATTTTCATCTAGAAGGACAAGAGCAGCAGATACATGGGAATGTCACCACCTGCATGTTCCCCACCAAACCACTCACCATCCTGACTTGGAAATATATCGCCGCTCCTTCACTGTCACTGGGTCAAAATCCTGGAATTCTCTTCCCAACGGCATTGCGGGTCAAGCCACAGACTGCAGTGGTTTAAGAAGATAGCTCACCACCACCTTCTCAAGGGCAACTAGGGACAGGCAAGAAATGCTGGCCCAGCCAACAGCACCCACATGCCATGGAAGCAAAAGTAAAGCTGGATTATACCTGAGGTAAACTACACTCTGTGCCCTGGGAGTGTACCGCACTCAGGAATTGAGAAAGTCAGAACAGGTTTAAATTGTACACTGAGACAACAAGGTGCAGGGCTGGATGAACACAGCAGGCCAAGCAGCATCATAGGAGCAGAAAGGCTGATGTTGTCTAGGCCCGAAACGTCAGCCTTTCTGCTCCTATGATGCTGCTTGG